AGCCTGTCACCTAACCTGTCACCTACGGGGGAGACTAGCCTGTCACCTATGGGGGAGACTAACCTGTCACCTAACCTGTCACCTATGGGGGAGACTAGTCTGTCACCTATGGGGGAGATTAGCCTGTCACCTAACCTGTCACCTATAGGGGAGACTAGCCTGTCACCTAACCTGTCACCCATGGGGGAGACTAGCCTGTCACCCGTGGGGGAGACTAATCTGTCACCTATGTGGGAGACTAGCCCGTCACCTACGAGGGAGACTAGCCTGTCACCTAACCTGTCACCTGTGGGGGAGACTAGCCTGTCACCTATGGGGGAGACTAACCTGTCACCTACGAGGGAGACTAACCTGTCACCCAACCTGTCACCCAACCTGTCACCTAACCTGTCACCTGTGGGGGAGACCAGCCTGTCACCTGGGGGGGGGGGACTATTGAACCACAGGGGCTTTCAATTCAGACTCGAAAATTCCTCCAGAACGTATGCCATAATTTGACTCGTAACGAACACGGTTCCAAGGACGTTTGAAGAGAGCGCCTGGCTCACCGCAGTCCAGACAGACGCGGGAGCACCTGGCAAGCCGGCCCCCGCCCAGCACCCAGCGCTCGCCTGTCGGCCACTGGCCCACCGTCTCCAGAAACGCAGGCTAGAATTCCGTTCCGAGAGTGATCTCATAGGAGAGGGCTTGTTACTGAACGAGAGAATGAGAGTTTGCCTTGTCGTGTGACGACCCCTTTGGACAGCAGCGCTTTTAATTCATTCTTTGTCCGCAAATATTTTTCCCCCGATCGCCTCTTTTTTGATCCTTAGTTTAAATAATTTTGTGACGTTTTTGTCTTCTGCCAGGCATTTAAATTTATTATCTAGTCAGCAGCATTTTCCTTATGCGTCTTCAAATACAACTCTTAAATTTCTCTGCTGTTATGTCGTCTGTTTAGATTTGGCTCTCCACGCCATCTGGGGTGTGATCTTGGGTATCTGGAATGCAGCGAGTTGCTGTTTCCAGAAAGCTGTTATGCACGCACCATTTATTAAATACCTCACCTCTCCCCACCACCGTAAAATGTCACATTTGTGATGGATTAGGCCTCACGCATACTTGAACTATTCCATCAGTCTCTGTTCTACTAATCTCTTTGTCTATTTCCTTTACCAGCACGTCGTTTGGGTGAATGTTTGGAGTGAGTGTTCATACCTACAGATCAAGGGCAAACTCACTAGTTTTCTCACTTCGAAAACATATTAAGTGTTCTCTTTTTCTCTTTCATATTTTCTCTTTCATGTGAGCTTCAAAAATTATTCGTTCTCTGGGGCGCCTGGGTGGCGCAGTCGGTTAAGCGTCCGACTTCAGCCAGGTCACGATCTCGCGGTCCGTGAGTTTGAGCCCCGCGTCAGGCTCGCATCAGGCTCTGGGCTGATGGCTCAGAGCCTGGAGCCTGTTTTTGATTCTGTGTCTCCCTCTCTCTCTGCCCCTCCCCCGTTCATGCTCTGTCTCTCTCTGTCCCAAAAATAAATAAACGTTGAAAAAAAAAATTAAAAAAAAAAAAAAAATTATTCGTTCTCACTTCCATCTCCAAAACCAAAATGAAACGAGCAAAAATGTTATAGGGATACCTATTGGAATGGCAACGAGTTTATTGATTAATTTCAGAATAATGGACATTCCTATGATATGAAGTCTTCCCCACTCAGAAACATGGATATCCCTCTGTTTATTTCAACCTTGAATTAAGTTCATCAAAAAAGTGTGACTGCCGAGGCCCAACACATGTTCGGTAAAATTATCCCTGTAAACGTCCATACACTTACTGACGCCTTTATGAACACAACCCCCCTGTTTCCACAGGTTATTAGTTATTGGTAGCAACTTGAATTAGTTATTGGTGGTATAAGAAAGAAAACTATCTTGTATCTCTCAACCTCAGATTCACTAAGTGATTTTGGAATCTCCCGTTTTTCTAGATAAACAAACATTGCCAATAAGAATACTTTTGGCTTGGGGCGCCTGGGTGGCTCAGTCGGTTAAGCGTCCGACTTCGGCTCGGGTCATGATCTCACAGTTCATGGGTTCGAGCCCCGTGTCGGGCTCTGTGCTGACAGCTCGGGGCCTGGAGCCCGCTTCGGATTCTGTGTATGTGTGTCTCTCTCTGCCCCTCCCCAGTTCATGCTTGGTCTCTCTCTCAAAAATAAATAAACTTTAAAAAAGAATACTTTTGGCTCTTCTGTCTTAATGTGTGTACCAATTTGTTTCCTCGTAGAAGGGACTGGAGCCTTCAGAGCAATGTTGGCAACAGGGAGGAGAGTGGGCTTCTCATCCCTGATTTCAGTGGGAAC